GAGAGGATTGTGAAAGCTTTTCCATTATAGTTGCCCCAAAATGTTGAAGCATCTCGTTAGGCAGACATTAGTGCGTTAGTCCTCACATATATCACAGTAACAGCTAGTGATGCAAATGAGTTCTTGGTGAAGTTTTCTCAGTTAACCAACATGAGTACATAAATGCTATTTATTTTCTTATTTAAAGATTGAAGGTGCTTTTGTTCAAGGTGTTGGACTGTATACAATGGAGGAGTTGAAGTATTCTTCAGAAGGAGTCCTCTATACTCGGGGTCCAGATCAGTATAAGATCCCTGCTGTTTGTGATATTCCAGAACAGTTTAGTGTTTCCCTGTTGTCACCTTCTCAAAATCCTTATGCCATCTATGCATCCAAGGTAAGCAGATGATCACAGGGCCTAGTTCTTACATCCCAGGCCAAACTGAGAAATTACTTTGATATAAAACACATAAGTTTTCAGTTCCTCTCCTTTAGCATTTCAAACAAGTGTCCAGTAAATTGTTTTTTTATAACATCAGGGAAGCTAATAAGACATAAAGCCAAATATTGTTGTGTCACTTTAATGGTTGGCAGGTAGTGATTTTAGAGTTTTGGTAACAGACCGTACACAAAAGCTGCAAGATCAGTTTAAAACCATACTTTTAAATGTGGTGATAAACTGAAAAGTTAGAATAAAAATATTAATTGATGGAGAAATTATAATGTTATTCAGAGTATGCAGCTCACTTGTGTGACTGTGCAATACAAAATAGGACTCTGTGTGTGTATTTATGAGAGACTGGCTTTGTAATATCTTTTTCAGGGGATAGGTGAGGCAGGATTTTTCTTGGGATGCTCTGTGTTCTTCGCTTTGAGGGATGCAGTAACTTGTGTGAGAACTGAAAGAGGACTGAAAAAGACCTTTGCACTGAACAGCCCCCTGACTGCTGAGCAAATACGGGCAAACTGCGCTGATGCCTTTACTGAGCTGGTAAGAGAAGCTGGGGGAAGGCTCTGTGCAACAGTGGCTAGGTAGGAGTGCTTGCTGATTTTGGCACCCCTGAATAGTGGAGTGCCTAATGATGTCTCCAATCAGTCATGCTTTAAATACAGCTCCTTGTAATTGAAATGTCTGGTAACAGGTCTCATTCACACAAGTTGGTTTTTTTTTTGCTTTGAAATCTACATAATTTTTACAGCCCTCTCTTTCCCTGAACCCTCCTCCTTTCTTCTGCATGTCAAATCCCATAGAGGATTAAATAGCTCATCTTATTAACATGCAATGGATCAGGCTCTAAGCCTTCTTCCTTCTCCTTCCAGGTGCTTTGCCCCACTGACTGCATGCTGGCACTGTCACTTCATTCTAGTTCTCCTTGCTATGCCCAGTACTCTTTGGGAGAGAAATAATTAACTCAGAGCTAACACAAAGAGACAGAAGCAAAACAAACAAAGCAATACCCTTCATATAATGCTGATCCTTTGTGCTCTGTTTTCTGCAACTGTTCACTGTAGTTCCACTGTTATTACAATTCTTTTTCTGGGTAAGTTTTTACTTAGTGAGGCAAGGTCCTTGCCAGCATATAAATCCATGCTGTGCCCTGAACCTCTGTGGCTCTGCTATGGAAACTCTTGAGCTCTCATTCACAGATTACTGCCATGGTATTTCTGTGGCTGGGGTGAGGCACCACTGGCCCCTGGATCAGTAGGTTTGTGGGTGTACTCTCATTGCAGAAGCTTGCAGTAGGTGAGATCCACCAGAGCAGGGACCATGCTTCTCCATCCCTCTTTAGTCCTAATCCCAGTTATCACTGACTTGGAGGCACCTGATAAGGGCAGTGTTGGGAGGTTGCCAGTCAAATAAAGTCACTGTTGTCATTTCTTACTTATCTCTTAGATGGCAAACAATGAAGCTTCTTCCTCCTTGGGCCACATCTGTGTGAATAACAAACCATAGTGCACAAGACCGGAATGGAAAACTGATTTACTGCCCCAAGACACACTAATCAACACACAGATAAATGTATTTTCTCTTTTTCTGAATAGAATCAGCTACCAAAAATATGCACTTCATATCTTACATCCTTATCTTCATTCTTCCTCCAGTGTACACATTACAGTAATTTGCTTAAATGACTGCATTTAATTGTCAGAAATAAATCTTCTGCATTTGAACCATATGTTTTCAACAAAAAAGATCTGATTAGCACAGCTTAAATGCTGCAGGAGATGAAAGCTAGAATGAAGTGTAAAGGTATGCTAGATAACTTACTGTCATGTATTACACTTAACAACTTCATATGATAAATGATTTTCTAATGGCTTCAGCTAATTTTCTAATTTAGATTTGAGTCTTGCAGTGAAGTGTAAGTGCATAGATCTCTGTCAAAGAATCAGAATCTTGTTTGTTGGATTCAGAACCTTTTTGACCAGAAGTGATACTCTGACTTGTAGTAAGGCTGGTTTAGAATCTTTTGGCACAGGTATCTTTGTGTTAAAAACATGCAAGAAACAACAGTTATGATTCTCTTTTGCTATGCCAGGCAAGTTGCCATGGCTGGTCTAGATATATAGAATTTTATCCCAAAAGTTGACAGAGTTGTAATTTCCACCAGAAGCTTTCTTTATCTCATGGAGCAAGCCAAAAGCCTCTAAACAGAATGGGAAAATTGACATGGAGCTCAGTGTGCTTTGAATGGGAGAATGGATGATATGTCAGCCTGCAGGCTCTTACTATTTCACTACCTTTCAGTGTTCCGAAATTTCTCTTGTCTTCCCTTCATTTTTTGAGCTGATATGTATCTGTGACAGAAATCAGGTCAGTCACTTTAACAGCTTTTGCATTGGCTATTAAGATATGAAATCTTTATTGTTTCAATTTGTCTCTCTGTAACCATGGTGAGGTGGTGAAATGCAGTTGCTTAAACACAGGTGTCTAGAGCATTTTAGATGTCATAAGGCAGTAGAGACATGGCACAGGACTGGAAGAAATGATGCAGCAGCTTGAGACCAGGCAGGTAACAGTAACTGTAATCAGTGGAAGTGGTACTGAAGGTGACTTAGCCAGCTGAAGCCTTTTTGGGGTTTACTTCATTTTCTTCACTTTCTTTGTATTAATTTGGCTTTTATATATTGCTAGAAGTCAATAAATTAAATGTGAATGCTGCTGTCACAGTTTTTCTGATTTGAAACATTTTCTTAATTTCACTCTTTGGTGTTGCAGTCTGATTATAAGAGATGCCTCTGCCTAAGGTGCAAATGAGACTCTGTGCCCAAGTCAATATTCCCAGAGTCATTCTTCTGGAAGTACTACCTTTCTAGAGTCCAGGTCCTGGGTATCCATGGGGCATACATGCCATTCCACTCATTTGAGATAGCTTGTGTATAAGCACTTGTTTGCTTTCCCATATTTTGTCACAGTGGGAATTTTTTCGCAGTGCTAACCAAACCTTTACTTCTGGTAGGTCTGGAATCAGCTCCTTCCTGCTGCACCAACTGTGCTTATCTCAGGCTCCATTATCTTAAGGAGACAGTGTTTTAGACAGGCAACAGTCCTTACATATGGGTTTGTCAAGGCCAGCTTGCAAACCCACATGTCAATAACAGCCCAAAATATGTGTGAATCTGGGATACACTGAAGCAGGGAGCATACAGATCTGCTGAACTGGGAGGATGTTCTATTGTCTCTTGTATTATGTACCAGCACGGGTTCTTGTTCATTACAGGTAAGTCAAATCTTGTCAAAATCTTGCCCAAGCCTTGCAGGCAATGACGTCTCCCCGCCTGCAGTACTGAAGTGTTCACACTCCAAGGATCCATCACATTCGAGACCCGCACTTTGTTTTCTGCAGTGCAAATCTTGTCTTCTTCTCAGTCATTATTAACAAAGATTCCTCCCTGCCACTTTACAAGTGGCTCTTTTGTCTAGTTGCCTAAATTCTATACATGTAGCAAATATGGGTTATTGAGTTTTCTGGGTCTGAAGCATATGAAGCTGTCTGCTGGATTTTAAGTGTTTAAAAAACTTCCTGGAAGTTAGACATTTCAGCAATTCACCATTCTGACAGTTGATAATATGGCTATGTTGGATATTATGAAAGAAGTACTCTTATCTGTAGGGAGGTAGATAAGCAGAAATGTTAGACTTCAAAGGCACTGGCATATTGGATGACTATTGACACATGAATATGCACTGTGACTGCACAGTTACACCCAAACTGGAGATGGTTCAGAAGAGCTTTCTACTGATTTTCTTCATGACAGCAATGTTCCTGTTGCAGTCTACCCTCAGCAGGCCCACTCCATGGGGTGAAAGCTTAAATACCTAACATAAATACTAGGTTCTGATTTGGAGGGTTAGCCTGTAAATTAGATATTCTTAGGCCTTTGAGCCTGCATTGTTGTACCTACAATGCATGAGGAATGCTACAGTGATCACTACTACTGCACTTGGCAGGACCCATTAGGGCTTTTTCCTGCAGGGACCTAGTGTCTGACATCACTCCAGGGTTTGTGTTTTGGTAGCTCTTGGGGATATGTTAGGGGATAACCACAAAACCAGCAGCCTGTCTCTGCTGAGAATCACCTTATTGCCTTCCAAGGGGAGTGGCAGAAGATTGGGGACTGGCTACTTCATCCTGTAAGCCTTCAGTCACTCTAAGTGAAGTACAGACAGCTTTGCTGTAAAATTTAAAAATAGTAAATGAAACAAAAGACAGGTATGTACAATGAAGACTTAAAAGATATATCCATAATTCCCCTTAGAAAAAAGAAAAGGCCAGCTGTAGCAAGGCATTTAAAGATTATTTTGTTTCCTGGACATGTATACATACAAATGGATGAGAATCTAGAATCCCAAATCAGGATTTGGGATTTCTCTCTTTAAGAACACAGCATGTGTTGAATATGGTGCCCACAGCAGAAAGGGCATAGAACTGGCATGGCATAGAGATAACCAGAAGTCAATTTAAATCTATGTAGAGTAGTAAAGCCAATGAAGACTTAAAAGATATATCCATAATTCCCCTTAGAAAAAAGAAAAGGCCAGCTGTAGCAAGGCATTTAAAGATTATTTTGTTTCCTGGACATGTATACATACAAATGGATGAGAATCTAGAATCCCAAATCAGGATTTGGGATTTCTCTCTTTAAGAACACAGCATGTGTTGAATATGGTGCCCACAGCAGAAAGGGCATAGAACTGGCATGGCATAGAGATAACCAGAAGGAAATTTTAAATCTGTGTAGAGTAGTAAAGTTGATTTTGTTAAAATTTGGCCATTCTGCAGAAAGAAAGGATTATACATAGTTCAGATCATGCCAAAATGAGAATTGTGGCTCCACAGCTTTGCTTTTGACACTGTAGAGAGGAGGGTAATGTTGAATGTCCTTGGTTCTAGCTTCAGGCTATGTATTCTAAATTCATCAGTTACTGGATAATATACAGACCTGGAAATGAACAGGATAAACAGACTTGGAAGTTGTAGTTCAAACCCAGAAATTCCCCCTCACAATTATCTCTTTTGTTACAGGGTTTGAATTAGAGGACCTCAATTTCTTTGCAGATTATTTCAAGTCACCAGAGAACAGTTAGGGTGGGGAGTAGGAGATGGTGCATTAGCATCAGAACATGCATTAATTGCTGAGAAATGGCAGACATTGCACTGGCTCATCCCCACCTGCTTATTTTCAGACAGCATCAAATTAAATTCTGCAGGACAAAGCAAACTCAGTCGACCTTTAGGAGCATACAGCATTTCATTAATTTCTCTTGATACCTAAAGCTGTATTTTGATGCAAGAGCATGGCTTGCTCTCAACATTCAGATAAGCAAATCTTTTTTGTGACTGGCAGAAAGGTAAGTTGTGAACAGAAAGGTAAGTTTATGAACAGAACACAGCTATACAATCCAGCACTGCATTTTCTCACAGTAAGCATTGTGCCCCATGTGGCTGCCACATGTTTGTTATGACCAGTTTCAGAAAATACTGGAAGAGCTTCCTTAAGGCTTCATGTATTTCAAGCAAAGGTTTAAGAGTGACTAGTCTATCATCTTCCTGTTGAGTAGTCTGTGAATAGATTTAACAGAATTAAAGATTAAAAACTCAATTTGGACATCCTGAATTTTTGAGTGCAACTAAACTTGTAAAGTGTCGAAACTCCTTGTCACCCTAGGAAAGAATCTCACCTGTTGACAGACTTGCAGCTTAACCTGGGTATCTGCATTCTTCCTCCACCCCCCTTCATTTTCTTTGCAGATCCTTTCAGGTCTTTGCAATCCAGAACAATTCCCACCAATGGATCCAATACAGGAATTTATATTTCCTCCTGAGCTAGTGGTAGACCTTACTGATATTTGTTATCCCAAGCATAACTGAGTTCCTACAAATTTTGAAAACCTGATGTTTTTGTGAAACTGAAAGATCTGTTCTCAGATAAATAGAAGATGCTAGTTTTAGTCACACATAATGAGACATTTCAATGTGAATAATCTACATGTTAACATTATTACAAATACCTAACTTTTTCAAAAAAGAAATTGCCTCTGCAAAATCAACTCTTTTTTTTTTTTTTTTTACTGTAGTGTTTTCTCTGAAAGATCCCAAATGAACTTCTCTATCTTTTCTGTCTTGTATTCTCTGTTGGATGGCTTCTTCCAGCGGGGACATAGACCCTAACAACCTGAAACTGGACTTAGGTGCAGGTCCACAGGAAAGGCAATGGACTAGAAAAGGAAAGAAGAGTGTTAATTGCAGTAGTTATGGAAATTCACAGAAGGACAGATGAAAAGTTGAAAGGGGAGGAGGAGGAGGAAAGGCTCATGACAGAGGCAAGAGATCTGTGAGAATGGTAGTGCAGGATTTACCCACACCAGACTGAGTAGAATCCAAGCAGTCAGGTTCAGACTCTTTTTTTTAATCCTCACTCATGTTTCAGTAGCTTATTGCAAAATTCTTTGTTTGCATTTCTTTTGCAAATATTCGTGGGCAGTTCCTGCTGCTATTACACAACCACCTCACAAGCACAAAAGTTCACTTGAGTTCTGAAAATGCGTGGCACAGTTCTTTGGTTTGTCATGATATCAGAGTGCTATTTGCTGCAAGGCAGTTGGCTTTGTAAACACTTGTCAGTGCAACTTTCGTATTAAATGATTGCCTCTCAGTGCAGAACATTCATAGTAAGGCATAAAATCCTTTATGAAACCATGAAAGGGAAAGTAAATCTGCCTTTCTGCTACTTGCCCTGCCTTTGAGACTCATGTTTACAATGCAAGTATTAATGTTTTACAAATGTTATACTTGGATTAAGATCATGGCTAAACTGCTGCTGGTTGATAAAGCTGGTCAGACAGAAAGAAGATGCCACCATCTGCTCTGCATGTTCAGATTGAGCTGCCAGGAGGAGTGCACTGCTTCTCCAGCCCACACAAGGTATCCATAGCAGTAAGATTATGATTGGTTTCACAGACACCAAGTGGTTTTTTTTTTGTTTTTCAGGTATGTCATTTACCTAGAAGGCCAGTCCAGAGTTGCAACAGGTCTTTGGCTTGTCCACTGGTGTTTTAATTGCATTTTCTGCAAAGATAGGTGTTTCTCAGGGATTGCTTTTGCATATTTTGAAGCCATGATTCCACATGGCACTTGTCAAGTATGAAAAGAACATACATGATATCCTCGGGAGGAAAAAAAGGCTATATATATGTATATACACATATATATGTATATAGGTAAGAAACAAGGTGGCAGAAAACCACTTTGATTAACATAAATACTGATCAACCATCCCAAGGAGACAATACTTCTGGAAAGACAAATTTTTAAAACATTTATGTACTGCAGAAACTAGTCTGGGTCTAGCATGGTAGATACATGACTCAGCAAATAGGGATGTAGTGATCCTCCCTAAGAGAACACACTTCTTGTATTCTGCCACATATGCAGTGAGACTTTAGCATCCTGATTTCCCCTGAAGTCCAGTAACATTGCTTTACATTATACACAAGGGAAATCTTTCAGAATCTTCAGAGTAGGAAAAAGAAACATAATATTAATCTTCTCCTACTATTTATTTTGTGTGTCTCTTACAATGTCATTTAGTTCATTCTTATTTCAGTTTCCTGAGCAATAATATAATTATGATATAAGCTCAGCACCACAGGAACCTCAGGTGAAAAGCTTCATTAATGTCTCACTGCCTGTCATGACAGTGGTTCATACTGGCAGTAGTCAAATCTACCAATCTTTGTCATTTCCATCACAGAGAACGGCTCGAGCAACAAAGAACTGTGATTTTCCATGAGAAGAGAACAACACAGATTTCTCCCCCTGGCCTGAGGAAGCTGAGGGAATGGCCGTTGAGGGGTAGAAAAGTAAACCTGGTTTCTGTCAACAGAGATGATATGAGAGAGGACTTCTGAAGGGAACAGTAGATTAAATCACATTAAAAAGTACAAAGGTAGACTTCAGTTAAGATTGAATAAAACAAATACAATTTCTAACAAGTCTTTTGGTGGAATAAATGGGGTTATGGGACAGCTCCCTGTTACATATAAGAAGGGCAAGCTGAAAAATAATCTCATTGTTTGTTGAAGTCTTTAGGAAGACACATTGTAAGCAGGGGATCATCCTGGGACTCAAACCCAACCTCACCAGCTGGCACATCTGTCCTTTGGCATCAGAAGGTAAGCTTTGGCTCCCCTGCCAAATATCTTTGAGATGGGCAGAACACTGCAACAGAGAATATGTCTGTGGGTATCAGTTTTCAAATACTACTGTGCATTCCTAGATGAGTTAGAATGGTACATTCAGGAGAATGGAGAATATTGTCCTGATATTTACTTGCAAAAAGTATTTGCCAGTAGGATTTGCCAGTAGAAAACACTGTCCTCTTTGACAAGGCAAAAGGAAATGGCATCTAGCCACCTCAGGAAAGCAAGGTGGGTGTGCCTGACAGGTAGGAAAGGCCTCCTTTCTACCCTCTGGTTATGTCACTCCATTTATCAGGTTAGCTTTGTCTTGTAACTCCAGCACTGTTTGCTTTTCTTGCTTTTTTCTGTCACTTTTTAAGAAAAACTCGTTCATTCTCTAGTGCTATGCACCTAGAAACTTCTCTTGAAGCCCCTGGTACTTTTGTGGATATAAGTCTGTGTATGTACATGTGCACAGTGTTTAAATAACACTCCAGTAATCAAGCCAAAGCAAGTCTCATCCTTGCAACATAGAATCTGTGACAAGTTTGGAAAATCTTGGCAACAGTTTCTGCAGTCTTTGAACTAAATGTGTACAGGGCTGATTCCCCATCTTATTGCAGTGCTTGATAGTTACTTAAAACGTACTGTAATTAAATGATGTTAATGGTCTGAAGTGCTTTTGAAGTAGAAAGAGGATAGTTGTATTTAAACCTAAATAACTGATTTTCTGACTATCACTAGCATTTTAAGACATATATTTTCTAGAAAGTATAAAATAATCAGTATTTTATGTGATGAAGAACTATGGCATTCATATAGGGAAATCTATATAGATTAGCCTTTCTGCTCAAAGGCTAGATCCTGCTAAATCCATATTGGCCTTAATATATATTCTTTTGCACAGACTGAAGAAAATTTGAATCTGCAATGCAGAAATGGTTCCTTCTTGCCACACATTCAATAACAAACTGCAGTTTTCTCCAACAGATGGTAAAAGATTCTTTTAAATGATCCGTTCCTTGCTGGCTGTGAGCATACTGACATAAATGCCAAGGAGTTCACTGTTTCTGTTCTCATCCTGTACTCTGTAAAGTTAAGACCCTGATGCTTCAGAAGTTTCATTCAGGTTCCTGTGTAGTTATTAGGAATATTTCCATTATTTCCAGTAGGCGTTGAAGCATGCAGGCTACTCCTGCTTGGAAGTAGCTAAGAAAATTCTGGCATTCTTCCATCACCTCTCCCACTTTTTTCAGCTAGATATCTTCTGCTTCTTGGGGCCTCTTACTGTTTTTCCCTCTCTCTTAAATGTGTGTTTGTGTCCCTTTCAGACACAAATTCAGGCTGCCTGAATATTTGCAATATGTGGGAAAATGCCATATTGTCACACAGTCTTCAGCAATAAGCTCATTTCTGACCTCTACTCACTAACTGATTAGCGATTTGCAATGAATAATCCTGAGTTGTGGTTGCAGCTACTCAAAAAATAAGGTCCTAAGGACTGTGACCAAAGGCGGCAGCATGTGGCATTGGCGCGTAGGGGTGAGGAAACGTGTCCTTGTTCCTGTGCTCTTAGGTATCCCTCTAGTGGATATGAGGAGAAGAACGGCGTGGGTAGAGGGAGACCCAGCCACAAAGCCCCGTGTTGTGATTGAAGTCAGTGAAGGAGTGACCACAGGAGTCTGTGCCAAGCCTGCCACCAGAGGGTCTGTCCCCAAAGCACTGCCCACTGCAGGGCAGCTCACTAACGTGTGGCCTCATGCCGGATGAGTGCCTCTGCCCATAAGAAGTTGGCTGGCTGTGGCAGGTTTCCCATGAAAAATAAAAAGATTCCCATGAGCTGAAATCCTGCAAAACCTGTGTTGGCAGCAGTAAAAGTGCTTTTGCTGCCCAGAAGTTTTGAGCCATAGTGATGATTTGAGAAACAAACAGCCTGGAAGAGGAAATTCAGGAGAAATGTGTTAGTTCCTTCCACAAATTACAAAAAAAAATCCTAGCCTGCTTTGTCCAATGACAAATTTTGTCACAGAGCTAAAGCTATCACAGAGGGTATTTCAGAGTCTTGCCTTTCAAAGAGAGATGGTTGCACCCAAGAATAGTGGAGGTGGGGACAACAAAATGAGCAAAATACTGCTGGCAATCAAAAGGTCAATTTGAAGAGCAGGAAGTTATCTATCAGCTGTCACATGGATAACATGTGAGTTGAAGCAGTCTCACCATGGAAAATTAACAGCATTTTTTGGGGAGGCTGCTTCTGCCACTCGCTTTCATGCTGATTCGCCTCTTTGATTAACTCTGCTGACACAATGAAAAGGCACATGGATCTGTTTTTTTTTTTTTTTTGCAAGACTTGTCAACAGAAAGTGCAGATGAAAACCTGGCTGTCAGTTCTCCCTCTTGTCCCTGTCAGCTGCTGGCTCTTTGTTTGGGGTAGTTTGATGTGACCATTGCTTCAGTAAAGCAATGTAAATCCTGCTGAGAGGATTTTCCATCTCTGACAAGACATATTGTTCAACATGTAATCCTGATTTTTACATTTGTCATGAGACTATTACATGAGACTATAGTAAAGATCTGATCTGCTAACCCCTACTTTAAATGTTCACAAACTCAGGGTCCTTATCACAGTGGGAACTCCATGTCCTGGAGAAGAAACCACTATTTTCTAAGTTGAAATTAAACTAAAAGAACATACTGGCCATATATATGCCAAGACCAGAGTGCTTTTCCAGCACTCTGAAATCACCAAACTGCTGATGAAGTGAAAATGTTGGTATGTTTCCTTACATGTAGATAACCTCAAGTGATGTCCCTGTTTAGTAGAACTGCCCAGGATTAGCTTAATACTTCAAGAAAGTAAAAAGTTTAACTGAAACTTTAGGCAATGGTAACACCTAAAATACAAGAAATAATATATTTTAATCAATTTCTGACATTGATGGAATTTTTCCTTTTTCTTTTTTTCCCGTTAGGATGACTTCATTTCAGTCTTCTGACAGGCTGAAAGACAGGAAAATGCCCTGTCCATAGCGAATTGTGGGAAGCTAGTCCTTTTCCATCCAGGCACAAACAGCATTGTAGAGCTGAATATTTTATTTGGAGGCATTGGCTCAACCACACTCTGTGCAAGAAAGTCCTGTAAGACTTCCTTATAGGAAGGTACTGGATATTTTAATGTATTTTACCAAAACGTAGGAATCACAGAGGGAAGCATGGGATTTGCTTGACTGTGCCAGTAGAGATCCCATCACCAGCTGCTCACAATGTGTTTGACCTGTCCTCTCTAACAACAGATTAGCTCTTGATATAACTTATACTGATTCATTTATACTTCTCACATACTTCACAGTGTCTTTAGCTTCCTGTAACTTATAAAGAAGGGTGTGTTCACTTTAGTCTGGTGTTTATTTTTACCTGGCAATGGAAAGATCACATGCTGAATGAAGGCTGTAGACTGGCAATGGAGGAAATTTTTTTCCCTCCACCAGGTCTGTGTAGAAAATTAGAATATAGGAGAACTCTGCTTGTCAGCTTTCTTTTCAGATTCCATCTGGAACTGTTATAATGAGTATTTTGCCCTTCTAACTTTTCATTCTTAAGCCTCTGCTAATTGTAACATGAAGCTGCTGATAGATTTGACACTGTGAGCAATCTTTTATATTTTTGTAGATTTCCTGGTATTTCAGGGTGCAGATGCACTCCTTACCCTCAAGGTGTTGTGTAGATCAGGCTGTTCTGACACAGCTCAGACAGGGACACAGCTTTGAGAGATGCAAGAGCTCAGCAGAATTTAGTTAAACTGTCCAGTGGCCCTCAGGACAAATAAATGAAATAACCTACTGCAGCATCTCTGTGATTGTTCAAGCCTGAAAGATCTATTTGCAAAGCTACAGTATGAAAAGGAGAGGTGATTAGCATGTGGAAAAGTTTGTTTGTTGGAAGACTTCAAATTAAAAAAATTTAAATTTCATAATGAATTTTCATCCTTTTTTGTTTGTTTTGTTGCGAAGTTTAAAAACTTTTAAATTAAATTTGTGCTGCTTCTTAGCAATTTTCCACTAAAAGCTATCAGCATCAGCCAAGAATTTGTTTTTTGTCCTGTAAAAGATTAAAAATATATTTTTACAGCATACTCTTTACTCAGCAAAAGCCCACCAAAACATAAATGTTGAAATGTTGGAACATTTTCATAGTCCCCAATAATAGTCTGTTTTAAGTTAATGTGAACTGTCAGCAGTTCAACAACAAAGAGCACCAAAGATGTATTTTTATTAGGTAGGTCTGAAATTATTTCAATTACAGGCTGACTTTGAAATAATAAGAGGGGATTGATGATGAGAACTTAAATAGCAAAAAAATGGAAGAAAACATTTTTCAGTCTAGTCAACATTGGCCAGAATAGTAATTTACCTGTCTCTTTAGCAAGATGGGCAAGAAGGAATTAGAATGATTCCTGACTGTATTCCTGACTTCAGATGGATTTTCTCTGAAGTAAACAGTATGAAATGTGATTGTTTGAAGCAGTGGTGATGCTGAAGTCTGCAAAGGTATAGCTTGCTTCTCTTTTTTTGGGCTAATTCACCTCAATTCTGTCAATCTTCTCCATATAGGTTCTGGCCTCTGATAATTTTTTTCCTGCTCTGCTTTTCACTATTTCCAACTGTTCCCAATCAAATATCATGTCACCCTTTAGTGGCTTCAGTTCTGACTCCTGTTACTCCTGCATGAACACGTTTCAGGAATAACCACCAGGCCAATATTGTCACACTCAAGGACAGCATAAAGTTGAAGGTAAAGCAGAGCATTTGGAGCCCTGCACTTTTATGCTGTGCTGACAGATTCCTCTCTCTTTTAAGAAAATGGTAAAAAAGTGGGTAGAAATTGGTAGAAAAAGTGTTACTGATGGAAAGAGGTCAAAAAAGGAAGAGGAATAGGAAATTTGTATTTTCTCTCATAGAGTGATTTAGAAGGAAAGGTAATCCTGCTGTAGCTGTAGAGCTGTAACCTCCTAAAGAAGGAAAAACCATGAGATGTTAAATTGATACTGATTGAATAATTTTCTCCTAATAAACACAGGAGGTTTAAATAAATAAATGAGGTGGAAGCCTGAGATTCAAAGAAACAAAAAAAAAAAAAAAGAAAGTATTTTTCTTCTCTGACGAAACTCTTTCTGTGCCTTGTATACAGACACATAGTCAAATATAAATTCCCTTGTAGTTCACTTGAAACCCAATTTATTTTTTCCTATAATTATTTACGTAACAGGTGAATTGCATATGGGAGGGTAGGAACATTTTTCATGGGAACAAATAGGGTGGTTGTTATTCCAAGAATGGAAGATAAAGAAATGGCTGTGTACTGTCTACTCAGAATGCACCAGATGTACAGGTAAAACAAAGTATTAATGGTGGGTTCAATGCCCATATGGGCCATTCACTTAAGAGTTGGACTCAACGATCCCTTCCAACTCACAATACCCTATGGTTCTGTCATACTTGTTTCTTACCTTTCTAAATAACCTTAAAGCTGAACTACATGACCAGGAGTTGCTTTCAGCCTCTTCTACTTCTCTTGAAACCCTCTAATGGTGTTCCCAATTCAGATAAATTAATCTTTTATGAAAATAAGTGGCCTGAGTGCTGCTGAAGCAGAATGGAACAGCAGGTCTTGTGCTGTTGGTATTACACAAGGCAGTACAGACAAAATGAGCAGTGTTATTATGGGATGAACAAAGGGTATCTTGGATAGATAACAGGACTGTAATCTTATTGAGCAAAGACTAATTCTGTCTTACATATATTGGTCAAATCCTCCTAAAATTAGTGACAATCATTACAATCCTCAACAATCTCTTTTATTGCTGTAATGAGTGTCTTCTTGAGAAAGTGAGTATCTGACAAGTTGCATTGCTTGCATGAGTAGTGACATTGATGATGATGGGGTCAGAATTGTGTGTAAATAATGATAAATTAATATGGAAATAATAACATATGAATGGTATGAAGTTTCAGGGGAAAAAGCTAACAGGTCCTAGTTAACATTAGAGTTGGATTGTAGGCCTGTAGCAAACAACAGTTTCAAAGAATATATGTTAATTTCTACATGTTTAGTATTAGCTTTTATAGTTCATTGCTGGCTTGCATTTTTTAAGCTTTTCTTTTTGTCAGCCTGATGAGTTAAAGCTCTATTTACATCTTTGGAAGCACTGTCAGAGGAGGTATTTCCAAAATGCAATGTCAGTATTTTAATGACACTGACTGTGTGCTGTAAACAATCCCTTGGTTCCATTTGGCTTGCTGTTTTAGTGCATGCTTTATCTCCAGCTGCAGATGCAACATGCAGTTCTATATAGGGATTATCATATCTGGCATCAGATAATCAAACTAGTTTACAGAGCTGTTTTTACATTTCCAGTATTCTTTTAAAGACTAGATTGTGTTTTCATTGGCATTTTTAGTTGTTTGAATTTTTTTTGTTTGTTTGTTCCTATAGCAACTCTGTTTTTCTGCCCTGGAGTCTTAACCTGACAGCTTTTAATACACAGTCATAGAAAATAGACAATTTTAATATGTATCTTGATAGGTAAAATTCTGGATGTTCACTTCTGCAGGAATTGGTGGCTTCAGCTTTAAACCTCAAGTCCAAAACAATTCTGTGTGCCATGTGAAACGTGTTGGTGGAGCATTTGGGGGGAAGGTACTAAACCATCACTCTTTGTTGTAATTGCAGCTGTGGCAGCCAACAAGTAAGTTGATTTAACTAAATCAAAGGAGTGATTTAACTAAACTTAATTAAAGATGACAAGACTAAATGAAAAAGGAACTTCAGTCCTGAACCCTCCTTGGAGGGTTATCCTGATGACATCATCTTTTTATCTCTTTGGCAGTAAATCTTGGATAGAGGTGTGAAAATTCTCTGGCCTCCTGGCATGGTATTCACTTACTGTCTGAAAGCCAGAACAAAGCCACGGAGGCAGTTTTCCTCTGATCTGATCTGTATAAATCCCAACAATTTAGGCCTCTTTGAGGCATGATGGCATGAATTTCATTCCAGATATTCAGTGAAAATGGTTTTTATCCTAATACATAGGTATGCTCATCAGCCCTTTGTGCCACAGCTCTCCTGTACTTTGACTGCCTTGCCCTTCCCTGTCCTGTCCATTCTCCAGGGAATTTGCATCCCCCTGTTGAGAAGCTAAAGAGAAAACTACTGAAAAGCTCATTTTCTCTCCTTTGTTGCCGTTGCCAAAAAAAAAAAAAAAAACACCACCCAAAAAAGCCCACAAGAAGAACTTGCTGAATCAGCCTAACCTCAGGCATGGTAGGTTAATAAGAAACTAAAACATAGAATGGGGTGATTTATTGGCACCAGTAGGAGTTTGGCCATGTACACGTAATGTCATTTGCAATCTGCATTAAGAGGCTAAAATAAAAGGGGATTTTTCTAATGTTCCTTTTGGGAGCAGGTGTCCACTCCATTTTACCCTGGAAAGAAATATAGATGTGTTAATCACTGGTGGACAGCACCAGTGATTGGAAAATAAAAAGTGACATGAGAGAAGGTATTTTGCCCAGTTACTGGGTAATAGTTTCTTCTGAGGCAAATCAGCATAATTTCATTGACTGTCAAGACACAGCAGGAAACCCAAGTTTTCTTCTGAAATCCCAACCCAGCAGCAACCTTCCCCAGTCCTAAGAGCATCCTGATGAATTCCATGAATCAGAACAAAAGCTATCATCCTAGAGCCCATGCAATATCCAGAAAAAGCAGAACCATCCCTCCCTTTTTTTAACTTTGGATTACTGCTAACATCCTAACTGCCCTATCTCATCTGCAGATGATAAATATGTAACTCAGAATTGAATATGAACCACTTCTCGGACATAAAGCCAGCTCTGCAAGGTAATGCAAGATCCAACTTATAGTAAACTCTTACTTTTGACTTCTAAATCTGCACATTAGAAATAAATAGGTAAACAGTGCCAGCACTGAAATCTTGGTAAGTGCTTGGTAAGTGGTGGTGGCAGGTGTATGAATTGAGCACCCTAAAATCCTCTGGGACAGGGTTTATGGTTCAATATGGTTTGGGTAAAGAAGACCTGAGGAGTTGGCTTTTCTGTGGACTCTTGCATGAGTGGTAGCGTTTGGCTGATGACTATTTCTGGGAGAAATTGCTTATATTTTTAATTTTGCTGAAGATATTGCTCACAAAGATACTGTTCAACTCTGGTTATGATTAGAATAAGTTCAGAACAGGTTTGGGAAAAGAGGAAAATTCCATTTTTGGTTAAGTCTTATATTAACTATAAGACAAGGAATAGGACTGTGATTGGCATATGTCAGTAGTGTATGTATTTCATATTCTTCTGGGTATCCATTACCTGACTATTAGCCTGACAATGAGGAAGTGCAGTACAGTACCAGCTCTGGCTGGGTTTCACATACCATGTCTTCTCTCTCACACAGATGGAACACGTAACCCACAACTAGTGGACTATGCCCTTTTATTCAAATTTCTTCTAGAGTCACTGAAGTTATTTGGATAACCGCTGATGTGCTTTGCCTCTGCTTTCTTCAAAATGAGATGACAAGAAAATGCACCCTCACCCTTTGTGTTTTGTGTCTTTCCAGAGTAATGCCTTCAATCTGCTCTTCCATGTCTTGTGCTTCCCTCCCTCCAGGGGTTGGCAGGACAGAGCAGTAGCCTGCTGCAGAGTACTTATTTCTGTACAATGAGGCAGGAGCCAACTTCCCTCCCCATATCAGTCCTAGCCAACAATGATTACACAAGCGTTTCTGCAGAAAGCAGGGCAAGATGGCCATGATGACATTGTTTCCTGACAATAGCCACCTCACAGGTTTTCCATTGCACTCATCCTTTGGCACTGTACAAGGAGATACATCTGGAGTTGCTTAATACCTTGTCATTGGGCCCAAATTTTTGTTTATAAGTTAAACAGGGAAAAAAAGGAATAAAAAAATTAAAGTAGTAAAGCACAGTAGCAATTATGAAATAAAGAGTAAGATTTTACCAGCCATTCTCTCATCAATGCATGTCCAGTCGGAAAACAAACTAAAAAAACACTCTGGGAGACTGGAAAATAGGAAATGTCTGATGAAACTATGTCAAGTTTCATCAGACATTTCTGATAACATGTTTAAACATAAGTTTAAACAAATCTGTTGTGCTCTAGGCTAAAAATGTCTCCATGAAAAAGGACACAAATTACATCAGGCAGACCTGCAGGTCCCTCTCTTCTAATAGCAGCCAGCTAGAGATTCCTACCTCAGCCTGCCTTAGGAATTGGGGTTGGGAATTCTGCATCCATCCACTTCTGCTTCCTTCCGTGCAGGATATCCAGCAGTCAGTGTTTCTCAGTGGTAGAACTTCTCATACTCATAGAAGTCATAACCAAGGTAAAGAACCTTCATGGGCTGTGCTGTGCAGAAAACTTGTTAACAACTTAGAATTTAAAGAAAGATGAATTTGCTATTCAGTCACCAGGAGATGATGTACTATCTCCAGGAATGCACTAAGAACTGTAGGCTTTCTTTGCAAACATCATGGCCCCCACAATTCAATGCAGTCTCATTCAACTGTATTGCATAGTGGAACCTTGTAAGTCAGTTCCTGTAATGTGAGCCTCTCAGGCTGAGAGCTCTCCTGTGCTGTGGAGGTATGAGCTTAATTACCTGTTCAATTACAAGAATGCCACTGTTCACTAGAGGTAAGTTGGTTGATTTCCCAACCTTTTGTAACTTGAGAAAATTGAGCTATGTGTGTGCAATGAAATTTGTGTGGCTGATAAGGAACATGCATTTGTGAAATACAGTAAGGGATTTTTTTTTTCCTTAGCAAAATTATTTTTTTATGTTTTATTTTGGTTTCCTAAAGACAAACCTGGATGGGCTTAGATTATAGATCAGTTCTGCTGTCCTAAAGATCAGAAAACCAGATGACACCTTTAGCCACTTACTGACTGCAAGCATTCCTGCAGACAGAATTAGAACTGTCATACACACACACACATATATATATACGACACCATCTTGGTAGAACAAGATAGAAGCACCAGTTCTCTTGTCCTGCCAAGTAAAAGACCTGTCATTAATGTGTTTCATGCTACACTGGAACAGTTCTGGAGTTACCTCAAGAACTTGAAACAATTTGCATGCAATTTTGTAAGTACCTGCAACAAAGAGCAGATCACAAGTAGTACCATTTTGTCACTTCTACATCCAGTTTGAGAGTAAGAACTGTTATCTGATTTTTTTCTGTTCTTCCAGCATATGGAAAATCCCAAGGATCAGAATGAGACGCTGTACAAATTAATGATGGGTGATGTATCAATATTTCAGTAAAACAGAGATTCTAAAAGTACATACTGCCAAGTATTTCTAGGCACAGATATATTACCACCCAAGTAACACACCAGTTTAGCTCTGCTTCCTGGCAGCCCACCTCAGGCCTGCTCCACATCATCAGATCTCTCTGAACCACTAACTCTGGCCTCTCCCAGAGGTGGAATGTAATCACTGCTATTCACTGCCTTGTCACCACTCACTTCTCCTCTGCCTTACCCACAGTTTTGCCCCTTCTTTCCAGCAAAATGCTGAAGCAGGACCAAGTTGATGCATTCATCCCAGATGAGGAGAGAGCACGAGGTGGGGAAGTGGCACTGGAGGTAGGAAGGGTTAAGAGCAGGACAGGATCCCAGTACCAGCTGTTTTCCTAACAGAGGTGAGGTTGCCCATAGCAACCATCAGCAGAGCAGATGTGCAGCAGGTGACCAAGAGGGAAAGGTGGAGAGGAGGGCCGAGAGGGGAACCATGACAACATGAGTTCATTATAGGTGTGGCAGCTCAGCTGTGCCAAACAACTGGCACTCTGACAGACACTTCTTTGGAAAGGAGGTTTTAAAGTGATCCAGTGGCAGCTGTATGAGTCTTGATGGAACATTTCCCTATGAGGAGGGCAGTCTGGAAAGCAAATGTAAAGGTATTTGAGAGGGAGAAAAGGAAATACCTGAGCTGAGCCAGTGTAGATATACATACAAATCAATATTCAGCTTTGATAGCTGATAGTTCAAAGCCATAAAATTAACAGTGAGATCACATTTAACAACATCATTCTGTAACCAAACACTAGCATAAGAAACAACTCTGGAGATGCTCAACAGGTATTGCATTAGTTCAGATCCTGAGCTCATTTACATAAACACATTGATTTTCATTTATTTCACTGATGACAGTGCAGGCTTAAATTAGCATAGTATATAAAGGAGGGTGACCTGCACACACCCTCACATAAGTCACATTTAATCTAAGTCTGTAGAGATAAAAAAAGATCTTATTCCTTTACATCGGTAAAATTTTCCTGTTCCTTTCTCTTGGTAAAGTGTGAGAAACTACAGCTAATGGGAAAAGCTCAACTGGTGACGAGCTTTGTAGTTTTGTCATATCAAAGATTTTAGGGAGCTGACAACGGGTATTATTATATCTTTGTGTTTCCTTTCCTTAAAATGTGGTTTTAATAATTCCTGATTTTTCTTCTTAGCTTTTTTATTGATTTAGACAAATGCTCTCATTTTAGAATGAGCAACCAATGTAATCAGTGGCTTGGGTTTAGAATTAATGGACAAATATTTGCTAATATTAAGGTGAAAATTCTTCCTCTGAATGTGGTATTTTTGAAGTTAGTATTTTGGGAATTTCATTGAGCTCTTAACTGGAATCTGCAAAAATGTTTATTGAATAAAACTTGTATGCACTGTACTGCTATTTCATGGCACTGGGATCTATCACCAGTATTGTTTCAAGGATAAAATAGTAACAAAATCTGGTATGAGATGAAATCTGGCTCCTATTGACAATAAGAATGATCATGTTTTCCCTCCTGTGGCCCAGTGATTTGTTCCATTTATACACCTGGTAACTGGTCATTTCAAGAGTTTTAGTCACAGCAACACTGCACTTAAATCTGATGGAAATTTGCAGCTGCATACAGTCTAGAAAGAAGCTTGTGTTCTCTAAGTTGGTTTGGGGGTTTGGCCTTTTGGGGAGCAAAGAACTGGGCTGCAATTGCACCTCTAGTCCTACACCAGCACAGAGAGCATTCCCCGTGTTGTCTCCAGCTCTGTGCTGCTGTGTGTTTGGCAGCCTATCTTTTTTACATAGTACTTAAAGGACCTCCACTAGCACAGTGGATGTGTTTATGCTGCCTGCTAACAGGCAGACTGCCTAGATCCTGAAGGTATGCCGAGACCTGTTGAGGTGATTGCTAGTGAAAGAACCCGTGTTTAAACGCAGTAGGCAAGGCCTGTGCTTCTGGAGCCTAGGGCCTTTGCTGTGTGTTCGACAGGCACAGCTGGTAACTGACAGTCCTGCCTGCACACACCACAGCACGTCAAGTGCTTGTTAGCACCAGGATCTGAAAGAAGAAATTATTACAACTGCAAAGCAAATCTAGGGTCAAGCGCAGCACAGCAGCTATTGAAGACCGCTGTGCCGCTGGTCCCGGTGCTGCCACCCGCGCTCCGTGGGCCGCAGACCAGGCCAGAGCGGAGGTGTCCCTGCGGTGCCGGGCTGGCTCCGCCGCAGGGAGCGCGGGGGGCACCAGGCGCAGGGTCCCGATAACCCCGGGGCAGGGCTCGGCCGGGAAGCTCCTCCAGCGGGGCAGAGACCCCCGGGGGCCAGCAGCACGTGCGGCCCCCAGAGAGCCCGCCCCGATCCCCGCCCCTTCCCTCCATCCTCTCGGACGGGGCGGGGCGGAGCGCGGCCCTCCCCTCTTCCTCTGGCGTCGGTTCCGCTTGCAGAGCTCTCGCTGCCGCTGCTCCTCGCTGCTGTTCCTGCCCGTCTCCGCTCCGGGCCGCTCGGGCATTTTCTCTCTGCCTTAAAGTCGGTGAGGAGACGGGCGGGGATGCGGGCGGCCGGCTGGGGCCGGCTGCAGCAGCCTGGGCTGTAAGGGCCGCACCGCGGCGCGCTGCGGTGGAGGCCGGGGGAGGGAGGTGGTGTAACCCCTTCTTCCTCCCCTCCTCGGGTGCCCGGGAGCGGGGCAGCGTTGTCGGCAGCGAAGGCGCCGCCTGGTCGGGCCGTACGGCAGGGCCGAGGGGTGAGAGGCGCGGGCACGGCCACGGGCACAGGCACTGGCACCGCGCGGGCCCCGGCTCCGCCCTGCGGCCGCCTCCGCCCGGGGAGCCCGGTGCGTGCCGGGAGCCGGGCGGGGGCCGGCGCCGCCCGCAGCCGCCCAGCGCCGCGGGAGCTGGAGGGAGGAGCGGCCCCTGCCCGCAGCGTCCTCACGGGTGTCTCTGCTTCCTCGTAGGGTGTCTTTTATGAATAATCAAAAGCCGCAGAAGCCGACACTATCGGGCCAGCGTTTTAAAACCAGAAAGAGAGGTGAGTTACCGCACCGTGCCCGCTGCCAGGACCGGCTGCCAGCGCTGTTTACGGTAAAACTTCGGTTTCTGTCAGTAAGCAAACCAGTGCTTTCATGCGTTCACCATAAATTTTTTACATGAGACCATGCTAAGTGCAGAATCTTGAGGCTGACTGAAATTTTGTCTGCATTAATAAAAAAATATCTGGCCGTCAGAATTATCGCTGAATTTACTGTAATAACCTTTGCCTAAAAGGTGGTCATTCTAGAACTGTCCTGAGTGTGTAGCCTGCAAGCAGAAGGATCTTGTACCCCTGAATTACAGGGGAGCTCCAGCACAGGCTTGTTGCAGGTTAATATATACACCTAAGGAGCATCTAACATAGTAAGAATTTCAGTCTTAGCCATTAGATAAAAGTTACGTTGTCCTCTTTTAAATTTTTTAAAACTGACAGAAAAAACCCACAACAAAATCCCACAAATCCACCCACCCACCTATCCCCCAGGCAACATCCAAAAAACTTCCAAAGTATGGGATATGCAAAGGCTCTCTGCATGCAGTTACTTCCGTAAGTTGTGTTAGTGACTGAAGGGGTATGATGAGTAACTTGATATTTTGGTGGAACTTTTTTCAGCCTGAAGAAGTGGGGATGCTCTTAGAATTTCTGTTCAATACAGTTTTACTTGTATACCAGCAGTATTCCAGCTGTAACAGGAATACAGCTTTAGGCATGCTGCATATGCAGAAGCACGCGTGGATTTATAGAACCTGTTTGATTGTCAAAGCCCCTCAAAAATCTCTTGAATATTAGAGTTTGCTGTGGTCTGTCCAGCAGGTGTAATGCCAGCAGCCAGGGATTTAGTCTCTTTTTAAGCATTTAACCATAGTTTGGCTGTGAAGCAACTCTTCTGGAACAGTGAGCTCTGTGGTTCTGCCCTGGAAAATAACTCATCCAGTATTTCCAAACTGGTACCCGGCTTTTACCAGTGTGTTGATAGTTGCATTGACACTGGACACTAGTATGCCCTACTAGGATGCTAACAGAATTGGTTAAGATGTTGTAGACAGCACTCAAAATAAGATCTGCCGTTGAGTTCTTTTATCTTTAGAAGCTTTTAATCTTACAATTTCCATAATCTAAAGACAAACTGAGATGAGGAAAAATTGAAGATCTCTTTAAGACTTTCTTTTAATTACATGGGTGGATTTGTTGCATGTTGACTATGCCCTGCCTGTAGTAAAAACAAGGCAATGATCAGCTGATGTGTCAGGTATGAAGATACCTCAGGAGTGTTCTGCTTAACAACAGCAAAGGATGCCAAATAGCTCTGCAGTTAAGGCCATTAAGTTAGCTGTGTGTCTACATTTCCCCTAAGCACTTGAGGAAAAGTTACTGCCTCAAACTCACCTAGCTGCTGGTTAACATGAGGGGATGGTCTTCATAGCAAAAAAGCAAATTTCCAGGTGACTCGGATGCAGTAATGGTATGCAGTTTGACAGTCAGGAAATTTAATCTGAAACAGAGAGAGGCCCAAAAAGCTGAGATAAAACGTGAGTAATGGAGTCTAATGTAAGGAATTATAGGGGCATGTATTAAAAATTGCCTTCCAGCATGAGCTAAGTCTCTGGTTTTGGAGAGAAAGAGTGAACATGAGAATAGGAGTATAAGAATCAAACTTGAGAAGTCAGATAAGCTTCGTTAGAGCCAAGTAATGATCATCACAAAGAACTCTTAATGGAAATCTTATTTCAACGTTTTTTGCTTTACAGATGAAAAAGAGAGGTTTGACCCTACTCAGTTCCAGGACTGTATTATTCAAGGTTTAACTGAAACTGGCACTGACTTGGAGGCAGTAGCAAAGTTTCTTGATGCTTCTGGTGCAAAACTTGATTATCGCCGCTATGCAGAAACACTTTTTGACATCCTGGTGGCTGGTGGAATGCTGGGTGAGTCCCTGTGATGTGGCTGCTGTCAGCTTCATTCACTTCACTCTGCAAAAACTGCATTTCCTTTCGTGTAAGATCTCTGCTAAAGAGCCCACTGAGTGTCTAGAACGGGGTTTAAGTTAATCTGCAGTAAACCACCTGATCCTCTTGGTGCCTGAGCAGTTACTGTAAAAATACTCTTTATAACCTGCCTCAGTTTTACTTGAGTCTGTTTGCATTCCTTGAAGTGTAGATTCGTACAAACTCTGCTTAGAAGAAAGTACTTTGGATTTTTGGGTGTGGTTGGTTTTTTTTGTTTGGCTAGTTTTTGTTGGTTGGGTTTGTGGTTTTTTTTGGTTGGTTTTTTTGTTGTTGGTGTGGATTTTTTGGGTTTTTTTTTTTTGGGTGGTTTTTTTTTTCCCCAGGAGTAAAAAAAATCTTGACTCTGGTCAAGATCACTTCTAATGATGAGAGATGGATGAATGCTTGTTTCAGGTGCAAGTGCTCAGTCTTGGACATGCTGTTACAAATGATTTGTTGCTGACGTTAGTGAGGTCGTGGGCTCTAGCAGACATCAGGGAGTGAGAAATGAGAGGGTGGTTGAGTTCAGAAAACACAGGGAGTGAGGAAGTGAAATGTGATGATGAAAAGTCTTGCAAACTCAGGTACACGCTCTGTGTACAAAGAGGAACAGATGCTCACCAACCAGGTAAGCATATACTGTAATTGTTACAATATGTGGGTTTACATTCAAGAGTCTTAACCAGTGCATCCTCCTGTGTTAGGAAGTGTTCCTTCTAGGAATGAGTGATGGGGAAGGGAAGAAGGCATTGTTGTGTTATGGTGATGTGAGGTGCTTTACTCAACTCCTTGTCTGTAACAGGTAGCTAAGAAGACCAGCTTTGATCTTCAGTCAGAGGAGGCCAGAATAAAAACTGACATCCTGTTGCCTTACCAGCTTTTAATATTATTACCAGAAATATTAATCTCTAGTTTTAAAGTCATATTTCTGACTAATTCATAACAAAGGATCTCCATTGTATGTAGAATGGCACAGAAATTGATGATGAGGTGTTCTGGCACTGAAGCTGGTGACCTGAATGCACCTTCATTAGTGAAGCAGCCTAAATAACTAAAGTTTCAAGCTCATCTCTGCAGCACTGAATTTTGAGCTGTGTGTCTCTTCATGTTTCAGTCTACTGTTGTGACTTACTCTGTAATGTAAAAGGCACGAAGCAGCACTATTGCAGAAGACACTTGCCGGAATTACGCAGCTTCAGTGGCTTCCTTTAAGGGAAGAAGAGCTCATATGGCCTTGTTAACTTACTCATATGAAAACAAGATGTGTTGTCCCCTTAGCAGCAGGGGGCCAGAACAGTTAAATGTCCAAATCTAAGCTCTGGTGCAGCAGTGGAACACAGGGAGATGTAGGAGTGTCTGTGGTGATCGAGTCATTGAGTTCATCATGGCAGGACAATGTGTTGCATGCTGAGGGTGCTGGAGTTCTGCTGTGGAGACTGCTCAGTGCTCTCACTGGGAGTAGCAGTACTA